TTCATTAGGCGCCGCCGCCGAGCAGCGTGAAATGATAAACAGATTTCGGATTTCAAAACATCTTTCGCTTTAGATCCTTAATATAACAAATATATAGTGGAAATCTATTTGATATAATCGAAAGGTTAAGCTTACTTTTATAAAATTGCTCTTACAGTCTGAAAAAATATAAGCGGATGAATTCGAAAATTAAAGAACATGCAATCATCAACATTACTGAAATAGATAATTAGATAATTTTGCTTATACGTCCATTATACATAAAATGCGCACGCGAAACATATTCGCATTGCGCACACTCATATCCGCAGTCGTAAAAGGTCTTAAGCGACGCGTGAACGCCTCTGCGCATGTGTCAACGTGGCGCATGCGCAGAAAGTTTTTAGTTTTGATGTCCGGATTATAGATCATTCCGAATTATGGGTGTCCGAATTAACGACTTTTGACTGTATTAGTTTAGCTATTTAGCATACTTACATCTCTTGTACATGCTTAAGGCTTATTTGAATCCTGAAAAAATAAATTCTCACATATACTTAAGGCTTATCGAGGACCAGCGCTAGATATCTTTCCCCTAATGCATTCTCTGTGGCTCCTAAATCCTACTACGAAGCACCTACAAGTGTGTTTTGTTAATTTGGAAGTCAAACAACAGAAATCAGTGTTATATTTGCATATTTTCACAGAACTAGTTTTGATGGTTTTACCGAACCAGCATCTTCAGCTGCCAAAGAGCAAATGAACAAGATAAGATATAGTGATAAGTTAAGATAAGAATGGCTAGACAGAGTTAAGCTGCTGGCACCATCTATTGATGAAACAAGAAAACTAAAACAAAAAATAAATAATAAATAAATAAAAGTTGTTACCTAACCAATATTATTGATTTTTCCTTCTTCATAACTAGTGAAAGAAGCTTTGGTCATGTCAATAATTTACTACAGAAAATAAATTAATATGTCAACTGTATAGCTAGAACATTAATTAAAATTGAACTTTTATGCAATTAGAATCTGCGATTTTGTTTTTTAAAACTTGTTTATATTTGTAAAATTAATAATAAAAAAAAAATCTGAAGGCCTTCAGATTTTACATTATGCCCAAAGGGGCTTTTTTTTAAATGCTTTGTGTGTTACTTTTATTTGTTATATATCGTGTTCTTCGCACTTAAACCATAAAATTCAGTTCAACAGCAATATCACAAAGCAATTTTAAAATGAGCATATCTTTAGAATTTCTGATACACAGTCTCACGCGCTGGAGATAAAAGGGCCTTTTTTTTCATACAGTATTGCCATTACTCACTTTTAAATCATTGAGTTTGTTAATCAAAAATTCGTTAAAAGAGTAAAAAAAAAAATCCAAATTTGGGCTTCCAGATTCCTTAGTTCGACCAATATAAATTAAACCACACTGGCAAGGAATCCTGTAAATACCCCAGGAATTTATATTCAGAGTGGGGTCCTTAAGTATGGAACTCGGAATTTTACATAATGTATGTTCCTAATGTTTACCTAAATCGTGTTCTGCTTGTATTTGTACTTTTATATCTCAGCTTTCAATTAATGAAGATGATGGAATGAATTGCATAATACATGTTTACATTTGTATAAAATATTTAATGTAATTTTTTTAATGCCTTTGAATAAAATCTTTAAAAATATTATACAATCAAAAGTCGTTAATTTGGACACCCATAATCCGGACCCCAAAGCTACAAACTTTCTGCGCATGTGCGGCATTGACGCATGTGCGTAAGACCTTCACGGCTGCGAATATGCGTGTGCGCATGCACAAAATATGTTTACAAATGCGCGTTTAATGTATAATGGATGGTATAAGCTAAGCTAAAATTATCTAATTCAGTTAATGTTGCAGATTGCGTTGTTCCTTAATCTTCGAATTGGATCCGTCTTATTTTTTGCAGACTGTTAGAGCAATTTTATAAAAGTAAGCTTGAACTTTCGATTATGTCAAATAGAATTTCTGATATATATTTACTAATATGTAAAGGATCTACAAAGCGAAAGTATGTTTTGAAGTCCATTTAACAAAAAGTGGAATTGCTGCAAAAAATGGATAAAGGATAATGGATTTGTTTATCTAACTATTCCGAAATCTGTTTATCAATTTCACTCTGCTCTGCGTGTGGGGGGGGGACGTCGCGGTGCGCAATGAACTGGAAGTTGATCTGTCAGCACTATGCTTATCTTCAGGCAGATGTTTTTATTTTATTTGGCTTATAATTCCTTACTAAATGTAGTATTTCATCTTGATGTACTCCGTCTTTGATATGATTTAACTCAAATTCCTCGTCATTATAATTCGCTTCCGATAGCTCTTCGAAAACGAAAGAATTTCGATTGACAAATTAGTCGGTATTCTCAACACGGCAATTATAGGACTTGAACAGCGGAACTTTGTAACTGAACAAGAAATTATGTCTGTTTATAGAATTAAAGAGAAAGTATATCACATAAAAAACGGAGCAAACTTAAACAACAACTTACATTGAAAGAAATGTTTAATAAAGTAAACAAATAAATATTAAGCTTTTTTTTTTTTTTGTAAATTTTGATACCCTTTAGATCATAATTGTTCTTTATTTCATAAATTACGGTTTCATATTTTTAATTTTATAATTTCTGCATGCCATCTTACCAGATTTAAACTGATGAATCGATAATTCGGAATCGCCGAAGTCCCGACGAGTCCGTATTAATGACTTTTGACTGTACTACTTTGTTTTTTGGATTAATTAAGATGTAAGTTATTCAATAGGAATTTATACTTTTATTAATTTTTATAAATTCAAAAAGTATTTAAATTTAAAAATTCTTCATTTTGACTAAATTAATATTTTGAATTACTTTGGTTGTTGAAATTTTTGCTTTTGAATTTGATAACTCTTTATGTACACTTTTGTTTCATAATAGTAAAAATTTTTGAATTGAATTTGTGTGCTTTAAGTGCAGTTTATGTTATAATTTCTCTTTTGATTAAAAAGACAACAAATAAAAGATGAACGTCGTTTGAGACGAGAAGATCTTAAGCGGGAAAGGCAACTTAGGAAAGAAGAACATATGAAAAAGATGGAGAGAAAAATGCGCAGAAAAACTAAATTTGAAAACATGACTTGTAATGCTGAAAAGATGAACTGTTTCACACAAGATAATAATCACTGGAAAACTCCTCCTTTGTGGACTGGTAATAATTTTGTTTTAAATCAATTGTTATTATTTCTGCTTAATATTTTTACATTATTAGGACTATTTATGGAATGTTCAACTTAAAAGTGAACTGCACATTTAATTATGCATCATTTACTCATATTTTGTGTGTAATGTTTTTCTGTTGTGTCGTTCAGAAAGTTGTGCAGTTTTACAAACTGAAGTGGGTTTCCTTCTAATTATTTTGTTACTACTTGTAAGGAGTGATCTTGATTGAAGCAGATGTTTAAATGCTCAGGGTTTGTACGGTCCTTAAGAGTCCTTAAAAGTCCTTAATTTTGGCCCAAATAGCCAGAAGGTCCTTAATTTTAATCATCTGATATTTCTGTCTGTTTTTACAACTGCCATTTTGAGTGTGAATTAGCATTTTGGAGGAATATTTTTTGGCGATTCACTGACATATATGGTTATCTTTTGAATGGGTTCATGAGTTATAATTTGTGTCTATTTCTAATATAAATGATGGGATACTTGAGTTTCTAAGCAAGAAGTGAAACATAAGTGTTTTGAAATTCATTTTTTTCTAATAAAGAGCTCTTAAACAACTTTTTGTTTTTTGGGATGTGAGTTCTTTATTAAACAGTTCTAAATCTGGCGACGTATCAACATGTTGGTGATTTTAAGATCAATTTCTATGGAAAATTTTTAATTCCGAGATCTGGGAATTTTTCGATGATTTTGTTAAAACATTGCAACTTTGATAAATTTCATTAAAATAATGGTAATGTATTGAAATTATATTTAAAAAGTAATATTAAAATAAAACATTTTTATTATTTGCTGTCATATTATAAAGTTTCATTTTGGCAACTTATACAGTATTTTGAATCTGAAAAATAAACAATGTATAGTGCTATAAAGCAAAATTTATGAAACAGCTCTTAGCAAAAGCAAAATAAATTATCTATGTAATTAATTAAAATGTCTTTTTTTTAATTTTTTCATAGTAAGAGTTTTTCCCATATACGAGTAATTAATTGTCTTAGAATATTCAAAATTCTCAGAATATGAATCAGTTTTCTCTATAAAATTAATTTTATACTTTCCCCCCCTTTTTTTTTTCCAAATTATTTCTGGCTTTTTGCTGTTACAGAATTGGCAGGGTTAATTTTTCTTTAGGATTTTAGACATTGCAGCTGGGAAAGTTTAAAAGAATTTGAAGGCAAAATTTATAGACCCACGATTCTAGAAGGTTCGAGAAATATGTGACAAAATTTAAAATATCCCCATGGTATCAACACATAATGAATATATTTTACAGAAAGTTTGCGATGAATTTCTACTTTTTGGAGAATGTCTGGAAGAACAATTAAAACATAATATTTGAATGTTTTACTTCTGATACTAGAAGTCTTTTTCTTAACATGTTTATCTTCTCTTTATTTTCTCTACTTTTCACTAGACACAAGCATGGAAAATATCAAAAATGCTTCTGATCTTATCACATGGAAAGGCATTATAGAAATTAATTTTTTTTTATTAATAAAGAAATTGAAAACTGACAATTTAAAAGATTCATCTAATATGTCATAATGCATCATAAACAGAGCTGGCACTAGGCATTTCCCCACCTGATGCAATATCCTTGGATCCTAAATTTTGCTGCCTAGTGTCTTTCTAAATTCTGCTTCCAGTGTCTGCTCTAAATTCTAAAAGTTTTGCCATTTTTAGATTTTGTCGTTCGGTTCTAATAATTCACTAAATTCTAAAAATTCTGCCACACCAGCTCTGTAACTGGCCTGCTTTACCATATACTATATTTCATATTTCTTCTGAATGTTCATATTACTAAAGAAATATAATTAGCCACTTTTTCTATGCATTCTAAATGCATTCAGTGTTTTTTAGAATGACAGAAATCCTTAATTAAATTCTAAAATAAAAAGGAAACATGTTGAAGAAAGAAACTGAATGCATAAAGAAAATTATTCTTCAAAGAAATGTGCAGTTATTATTATGTAAATTACCCAATTATTTATAATTTCAGTCTTTACTATAATTTCCCATTTCTATCTCCCCATATGATAGAGTTACTGAGCCAGATTAAATTAAAATTAATTTGTATAATCTTTGACCACTAGTTCCACATTTATAGCTTAAAATTTGGCTGTTCTTGTTTTTGAATTACATCACCATGAGCTGCAATTGATTTTGTTAGCATCAGAACATGTCCCTTATGTTCTTAAATTCTTTTTAAATAAGATTTAAACTGCTTATTTAAACCTTTGACTGATATTGTAGTTACTTTCAAGACATAGCAATAATTTGCTTCGCATATGTCAGGGGGGTTTGGACTATTTAACTTTTATTAGATCAAGTAAACCCCCGTATGTACATTGTGGAGAGGTTGACAAGTTAGGAGATAAACCACGCAGAAACTAGTGAGAGCACTGGTATGCATATTGAGACAAATCTTTAATTGGTAGAAAAGATGCTTAAAGAGAAGGAAATCAGTGAGAGCATTGGTATGCATATTGAGACAAATCTTTAATTGGTAGAAAAGATGCTTAAAGAGAAGGAAATCGATATAAAGTAGCCAAAATGTTTGGGAAGGCTTTAAATGACGAATAAATATTTTATTGAGTGTTGTTGTTACAAAACATAAATGTTTTGTAATTATAGCACTTTAGTTGTTCCATAAGAATTTTATTCATTTTAGATAGGTGTTTTTTTTTCCATAAAGCATGATTTCACCAAATTAGATACATATGTGGCCAAAACTATCAAATATAGAGCTCTAAAAACCTGCACCTATATTACAGCTTCTAAAAATTTTGCAAAAAATTGTTATTTGGTATGCTATGCCAAGGAAATGAATTTATGGGTTCCTATTCTTTGATGCAGTCATGAATGCTGAGACTACCCAGGTATTGTTTGGGAGTTTACTACATTAATGTAGGAGAATAAATATTACTTCTGATTGTAGCAAATTGCTGATGCTATTCAACACATGCTTATGTTATGAAAATTTTAGAGGAATTTTATAATCATAGTATCTTAATTGAAGAATGTCAAGACCAGTATCTCTTGTTTCTGTCTATCTATACTTTCTATAGAGATGCTTAAAAACAAATTATATTTATAAATAATAAGAACACTTCTTTGCATGACTAAGAACACTTGTAAATGAAGATCATTTCCTTGCATGACTTGAAAATGAAGATCACTGCTTCAGAGTATAGATAGCAAAAAGCTACATAATGTTGACAGGAATGTAGGGAAATATGTAGATAAATGCATTTTACTAGAGCAGGAGCTCTCAATGGGTTATGGAGATCTCCCGGGGGGATTTCATAACTCCAGGGAAGAATGTGGTCAGCTTTTTGTTTATCTGTTAAGAATTCAGTTTTAGTTTATGAATATAAAAAACTACTTTAGTTTGTTATTTATCAACATTTTTAGTTATTGTTATTTATCAACATTTCTTATACTTTTTCTTATTTAATTTATAAATCACATAAAAAATAATCTATATTTAAATAAATGTAAGTGTATTTTTTGAATGTTGCATGGAGGGGAAAAAAGGTTGAGAACCACTGTATTAGATAGAAAATGTTTCTATATATAGGCAAAGTATGTCTTATAAATATGGGCACTTACTATTTATTCTAAAGCTATGTTTTTAAACTGAATACCATGTATAAGATTACAAAAGCTTTTATAGTTTTAAATCTTATAGTTTATAGTATTTCCTAAATCTTTTGCTTATAGTGTCTGGAATCAATATTTTTAGAGAATTCTTTCTCTAAAATAATGTTTTACAATGCATTGTTGCTTTAAAAATTCATTGTGTTATATAGTTTTTAAAAATTAAAAACCAATAGCTTTTAATGGTAGAAAGTGGTTGATAATTATTATACTGCTTGATATTAATATTCTTAAATAAAAGGAAGGAATTCATTACAATATGTACTGTAATTTCAAGAAGTTTAATGCATATAAAAATTATATATTCATATATCACATAAAACATATGATCATTTAACTTTTTAAATTAATTTTACCTATTAATCATTTGAACAAAATTGCTTTTATGTAAATTCTTATTTCAAAATATGCTTCTTTCTAGAGGGTCCATTTTGCTTCTGCCAGAATGCAAATAATAACACTTTTTGGTGTTTAAGGACAATAAATGAAAGTCATAATTTCCTATATTGTGAGTTTGTCACTGGATTCATCACATTTTATGATCTACGTACCGATCCATATCAGGTAAGGATCGTTTGCAATAATATGTGTATTTGGAAAAGAAAAAACTATATAATGTTGTATAAATAAAAAGCTTTATAGAATCGAAATTTTTTTTGTAATTGTATATCTTGAAGAGGTATTCAGTTTGATTTTATATAAAAATATATATTTGTACATAAAACATATTTTTTTAATAAAATTTATTTTGTTCTAAGTTAGTTTAAATGAATGCACAGTGTTATTTCATATCTAGTAACATAATTGATAATAGGTGTGCAGAGGTAGAAGATTAAAGAATCTGATACGGATTGTATTTTCATACTATCATTCTCAGTGAATGTTTTATCTTTTGTGAAAGTATTGTAAAATTGTCATTTAACTTCCCTCTACAATGAAACCTTTCGTGGTGGCCACTTTCTGAAAATAATCACCCCTGGAAGTATTCGCTATTAAGAACATAAAAAAAAAATATGCACTAAGCATCACAGATATTCATTTAGACGACTACTTCCACAGTATAGGTGACCAAAATTATCTGAAATCACAAATGATCTTAGGTAATAAATGTATATAAATTATACATTATATATGAATTAATATTTCCAACAGTTCACTGTTGATTTAGGTCAGTTAATTTTATTTAGATCTTTAATTGAATGCAAATATGTTATACAGTTTCAAAATAAAGAAGTCACATTATTTTATATTATTTTATGTTGCAGGATTTTTATTGTTTTAAAATTATTGACTAACATGTGCAAAAAAAAAAAAAAAAAAAACTAGCAGGTTGCTGTAGCAGGGTTGGTCGCCAAATTTTCCCCAAAAAATCGCCAAGTTACCATAATCCAAAGATTAACCGTCATTTTATATACTTGTAGGAAAATGTTTGAATGTTTTGAATTTGGAAAATGCTAATTATCATAAAATTAAAAAATAAAAATTGTGAATTTTTCAAAATTTAGTTTATTGCATGCATTCGCTCTTATTAGTTTTTTTGTCATACATGTTGTTGGCAGATGCGGAATGCTGTTTATGAACTGGATTATGGAACTTTGGAAATCTTAAGAATGCAACTAAATAAACTAAGAAGCTGCAAAGGAGCCAAAGAATGTACCATGCGTTTCAGATATGAAGGTATGTTTGAATTGCGAGAAATATAAATTATACATTGTATATGAATTAATATTTATGATTATGAATTATAGGATGGCCTATAATGTAGTAACCAAATTTAATTAAGAACAGAAAGATGGTGAATGCTTGTAGTGTGATTGTGAAATAACAATATAATGACATTTACAATAGTGTATAATACAGATATAATGAACCCTGAAATTGAGGCTCTCCTGGTGCTTGGATGTGCTATTTCAAGAGATGTAGGAATGTTTCCATGGCACATCTCCATGTACCTTGTTGGGAGAGTGTGTAATTATAACTATACTTGTGCCATCCTGTTGAAATTATATTCAACTATCTTTCTCACAGTTCTGCCAGTCTTCATTATTCCTGCTTTTCTGTCAGTCTCAACTCTTTTTACAAAAACAGAAAATGCAAATAATAGTGCATGAAAAAAATTTTGAAATAAAAAAGTCTGAAAAATTTTAAAAATGAAGAATAATTATAATATATTACAGAAATTGCATCAGATAACAAGTAAATTTAATTATTTGGTACAATTTATACCAAAAGATATGACACATTATTTTCTTCTTTATTCACTTCCTTTCTTCCTATAGAAGGTTCTAAGCATGAGACAGAATTTTTCAAAATATTTTTTATATTAGCTTTAGGATTAAATTCTCTTAAACTGTTTGCACTTAAGGAGATTACCACTAAGTTTGAAATATTTTGTTCAGTCGAAGATATTTTTGTATCTTCAATCTTTTAATGAAAAACTAAACAGCAGAACTTTGACTATCACCTAATTAAGATACAATAACATGCTGAACAAATATTAATTTATAAGTCAAACAACAAAAACTTCTTTGTTGTTTCAATTCTAAATTAATATTTGTTCGGTGTGTTATTGTATCTTAAGTATAAAAGCCTCAAACAAGCTTTTTTTTGTGCTTTCTTTTTTTCCATGTGGTTTTCATCATCTTGCGATTGTGTGTGTTTCAGAGCCGCAAATGGCTTATTTTTCGCTTCCTTTTCTGTGAAAATTTGAAAATATAATGCTGATTTTTGTTGTTTGACTTCTTAGGTGATATTAATCAGTGTGATGCCTAAAAAATAAGTTTATTGAAAACAAGCAGTATTTTCAAATACCTGTTTAAATTTGGATGATTATGAGAAAATATGATGAAGACATGCTTTTCTTAGAATAAATAAACATAGAAACAGAAAGAAAAAGGGACTCACAAATTGAAAACGGAATTAACTAGGAGCTTGTGCAGCCATCTGCAACTCACCACTATCATAACTTGTAAAGCTATGATCAGTGGCGTAGCTAGGATTCCAGCGCCCGGGGACAACTGAAGAATTTGCACCCTTTCTGTGTGCCAAGAATGGGAAATGTTTTTATTAAAAGCTTTCGTAGCTTCAACTGGGCGCCGCCTGGTTGCTGCACCCGGGGACAGATATTCCCCCTCGCCCCACCCTAACTACGCCACTGGCTATGATAATGGTGCTGTCACTACTTGTAAAGCTTTTTCATCAAATTTTGGGACATAAAACAGTGTGATCAGAAGATGTAAACTTGAATAACATACTTAAATAAATTATTGTATGCATAATGCTTTCCTAAAATTTATATAGGTCTTTCTTTTTGGCAAGCTATTAAGACTGTAAAATATGTTGAATTTAAATATATTTTTTATTATAATCAGTGTTCAAAAATCAGTTTATTCAGATAATAATTTTAATTAATAATTGATTAAAGTTGCATTCTGATTATCAGCCCACCAGCGGCCGAGCAGTAAAGATGCTGAACACTGGTAGTTCAGTCCGAAGTTCGAATCCCGCGAACGGGCTGGCTGCATGGGCATTTTCGTGGTTTTCCCCATGTGTAACGTGTATATGAGCCAGTTTCCCTTAGAAAGTCCTCCACGAAGGCATCCCTCCCTTTAGGCAGATAGCCCTCGTGTGCTTTGCCGTAATTGAATAATCCAATCCAATCCATTCTGATTATCACAAACTTTAAATTTTGTGAATTACTACTATCATACCACAAACTGAAAATTAGATTACTTGATGTTGCATACTTATTGTACTATATGTGATATGAATAATCATTTTGGAGATTCAAATATATGCTATTCCAGTATTAATTTATCTTTCAGGTCCTCGGCATCAGCAAAGGCAAAGATCTGCAGCAAGTTCAAGGACTCGATCTATCAGGTAAAGATGAACAATGAATTATTTGTGATATTTTTAATATCTCTATACATGTTAACATTTTATGAGAAGTAGAACAATTATATTATTTTTAAAAGCATACTCTTTGCATATTTTTGAAGATTTTTGAGAATAACTTTATTAATATGTTTCATTGCAATGCATAACAATCAAAACAGATTGCCCAACTAAATTTTCTGGAGTGACTGATGATTCCACTTTAAAGAATTTTGCTAAATTAGAGCTGCACAACTTATAAGAATTCTTATTATTGTAAGGAAATAGACTAAAAGTCAAAAGCAAATTTTGACCATTATATGACAAAATGCTGTGAATGGGTTAAGTTAAAGCTTAAAAAACACCACTAGTCATAGAATAAACTTTAGGAAGTCATCTGTGTTTTTTTTTCATCATTTTTGTTTTAAAAGGGGGGTGCAGAGTTTGCTTTATAACCTTTCAAATTTTCAAATCTTTACATTGGATATTTTTGGATGTTAGAATTTTAACCCATTCAAGACTAGCATCACATATATGCAACACAATGATTCCACTTCTACCAGTCCAGCATCCCGTACACGCGACACAGCGATTCTGCTCCTACCAGCCCAGCATAGCGTATACGTGACATTAAAACAGAACAATTTATTTGAATTTTTAAAAGCCAGTAGGTGGAGCTAACTGGTAACTGTTTTCACGTGAGTTGATTTATACGGCATTTGACCTTCATGTACTGGCATTAGTTTCTGTTTTGTGCTTCTGGTTTTGATAGATTTATTGAAATAAACAAACTGGGAATCATGACTCTTTATAAGTGCGCCTGTGAATTAAAGGGGCACAGGAATTTTTTTTTTATTTTGTTAGGATTTTCTTCTTTTCCTTCTTTTTTTTTTAAATTTATTTTAAAACTTAACATAAGTTTTCATGGTTAATTAAAAAGTAACATTACAGCATTATTACAAAAGGGGAAAGACTATCAGCTTTTTTGGCTTGTAATGCATCTTACTCGCTCGCATTTGGAAATTTTATGAAAAGCTCTTCTGTCATGGTTTTCATAGTTTTTCCTCATGTGCAATATGAATTGTTTAGTAAAATCTTGCATGAACCCTCTTCCCTATGGTTAGATGTCCTAAACTGCTATGGTTAAATTAATCTACACAATACACCGTATTCTTTTCCTTACAGAAAAAATCAAAGTGTAAACTGATACAAGATGGCAGACTCATGTGTCTCGAATTCTTAATTTACTGATATATAAAGATGTAAAAATTTAATAAGTAGATGCAGTGACACCTCAGACTCTTTTGGAAGAATTTCTGAGAATTTAAATAAACATTGCTATTGTTAATTACAACATTATTATCCAAGATTCTTTCCTACATTTTGCAGAAATGTATGATATGTTACTTGATAGAATCAGTTCCTTAATTTACCGTGATAATATGTTGAAAGTATTGACGCTTAACTCAGAATCATGATTATAATACTGAGGGCAGTAAAAAACACTCAGGAAAATGGGTTAACTCGCATCGTAATTAACTGAAGATGGATATTAACAATTTATCTCTATTTTCAGCAATTTAATCTGTAGAATAAGTTCATTTGGTTATGTAAATTAAATCAATTGTAGAGACATAAGGTATTTTTTGGAAGCGGGCAAGATGAAAAATTAGCAACTGCCTTCGCCGGGTATCGAACCACGGACTTCTGGAATACCAGCCCAGCGTGCAGACCACCACACCACGAAGGCTCACTAGGAAGGTGGGAGAAATACCTTATATACTCCCCCTTTTAAAGGGCGACCGGGGTTTTTAGGGGACCCAGTTGCCAATTCCTGGGTGTGGAGAATCATCATCCAACACTCTTTCAGTTCGGACACCACTGTAGAGACATTAGATATTTCTTGGAAGCAGACAAGATGAAAAATTAGCAACTACCTTCGTCAGGAATCGAACCACAGACTTCTGGAATGCCGGCCCAGTGTGCAGACTACCACACCACGAAGGCTCACTAGGAAGGCGGGAGAAATACCTTATATAATATTTAAAACAAAAAGAACTTAACGTTAATAACTGGAAAAATAAACATCATTAGGCAGGAAGAAGCTTTAAATAGCATTGAACAATCATTTCTGTGTCTTTTCTTTTCTATATTTCTGTCAGTTTATGTGGCGGCAAGTAAATGAAAAAAAAAAAAAAAAATTGACATTTCAAAAAAAAAAAATAGCCTATTTAATATAGATTTATACAATTTAGTGATATATAAAAGCTGTAAAAATTTAATAAGTAATAATAATTTATATTAATAGTAGTATTAATAGTATATTAATAAGTATTTAATAATTAGTAATAAATAGTGTATTTAATTAGTATAATAAGTAATTAATCAACCAATGGAAACTACAAGTGCAGAAAGAAACTTAATTAGAAATAACAGTATTCTTAACAGGAGTATCTGGCATTATAAATTTTTTTACAACACTAAATTAATTCAGGTTTGCTTATTTATTGAGTTCTTATAATATGAAGAACTGCTTCTATCTGTTTAGTCTGCTTCTTCTGTTTAGTACAGTCAAAAGTCGTTAATTCGGACACCCATAATCCGGACCTTAAAGCTAAAAACTTTCTGCGCATGCGCCGCGTCGGCACATGCGCACAGGCGTTTCACGCATGCGCGTAAGACCTTGACTACTGCGCATATGCGTGTGCGCAAGTGCAGAATACGTTTTTTGCCTGCGCGTTTAATGTATAACGGATGGTGTAAGCTAAAATTATCTAATTATCTATTTCAGTTAATGTTAATGATTGCGTTGTTCCTTAATCTTCGAATTGGATACCACTTATTATTTTTTGCAGACTGTAAGAGCAATTTTATAAAAGTAAACTTGAACTTTCGATTATGTCAAATAGAATTTCCGATGCTGGAACTTCCATACAAAACGAAAGTATGTTTCGCTGTCCAACAAACAAAAAGTGGAATTGCTGCAAAAAATGGATAAAGACATGAAGAATGTGACAAGAGAGGTTAGTGAAAACGAAAAAATTTCGATTGACAAGTTAGTCGGTATTCTCGGCACAACAATTAATGGGACTTGAACAGCGGAACTTTGTAACTGAACAAGAAATTATGTCTGTTTATAGAATTAAAGAGAAAGTATTATCACATAAAATGAAGCAACTTAAACAACTTACATTAAAAGAAATGTTTAATAAAGTAAACAAATAAATATTAAGCTTTTTTTTTTTTTTTTTTGTAAATTTTGATACCCTTTAGATCATAATTGTTCTTTATTTCATAAATTACGGTTTCATATTTTTAATTTTAGAATTTCTGCATGCCATCTTACGATATTTAAATTGATGATCTATAATCCGGAAAAATCGATAATCCGGAATCGCCGAAGTCCCGACGAGTCCGGATTAACGACTTTTGACTGTATACAAAATGACATAAGTTTTTACAACTAGCATTCAAGTTCACCAATTCTTAAACAGCATGCGACATATTTTTGGGAGACGGGGCATATTTAGAATATTTTGTTATTTATTAAATTGTCTTCAAGCTTATATGATCTCAAAACTCCCACTGCTGTTGTGTAAGGATGATAACAAAGAATATGTTGGAACAAGTGTAATAAGAATATAATCATTATCTTTTCATTTTGGATATGACAAAAAGAAGTCTAATAAAACATTTGTACTGGAGAAATTTAAAAGGCTTTCCTTTCATTTCATAATCATTAGCCTTCATGTCTTTCAAAATTTTGGAATTAAATTTCTATTCATTTTGTAAACCTTTACCGAAACAATAATAGTAATAAATTATCTAAATAATTGTCAAGTAATGAGTAAAATTGGTTTAGCTTTTCATTTGCATTACGACTACAAGTTGTAAAACAGTTTCTCTTAATATGTAAGTCAACCAACACTGTTAAAGGAAAAGCAAACCTAGGTGTTGATTGAAATCTGTTAGTATTTATGGATAGTGTATCATAGTGAGATCCACCCAGACCCAGGCAAAGGTACCCCATGCATGATTATATTGGTCATTCACTCTGAATACGAGCCAGGTTCCTTAAGAAGTCCTTTATGAAAGCATCTCTTCATTCATCCTTTTTCTTCATTCATTCTTTGAAAGATATCGCTGACATGTTTTGGCATGATCAAGTAAACCAAACCAAACCTGAATGAATATATTAGAGTCTGCAAAAGAAAATGATTTTATAATGTTTCTTGTTAAAAATAAAATTATTTTCTTTTCATAGTATTATTTATCATACTGTGTTCATAAATTTTAGATATAAAATCACTTGAAATTTTATCAGTTGTCTTGAATCACCAGTTTAATATATTATTCTGATTTCATGTTTTCTATGCATAATTAATGATATCCAAGGAAAACTATATTTAATATTAGTCAATATGCATATTTATAGATATCGCATTTCTTCTCTAGGCATTGGAAGAATGACCAGCGGTTTGGTGGCCGAAATAATCCTCATTCGTCACACACAGAGAGGCATTCAAAATGGAAATAATTGTCCCAAATATACGTACTTTTGAAGCTCAAATTTTGAGCTTTTAGTTAAGAAACATTTACTATCAATTATGCATTGGGGATTTTAGAACCTGGGGTACTGATGATACAGTGCTTGTTCCCATAGGTCTGTGATTTGGACTTGTTTTCCTTTATGTAGTTATCTACTGAAACGTTTGATTTTGCCATTAGTTCCAAAGTAAATATGTATTTCATAACAAATGAAATATGTATTTACTGTCGCATAGTTCATCCTCATTTCTCATAATCGCTTGCTTATATTGTTTTTAGCATTTATTTTGAATAGGAAGTTAATTGTTACAAGAAACAAGTATGTGTAGTAGTATTATCTTTGTTATCATAAGTTCACAATTATTTTGCATGCTGATTTTAATGTACTTGAAACTTTTGTATCAATCAAAATTATGTTACAGATATTTTCCAGTTTTCCTTTAGACATTATTTTACTCTGCCTTCAGGCACATAATCTGAATGATGTAATTTTTTATAAGATAACATTACATGGAGTTATTAAAATTATCAGATTTTTGTCTGTAAATTGTGCATGAAACATTTTACTAAATTAAAAGAAAAGTAAAAGTTGATAGGTAGATGAACTTACAGAAGCTTTTTGCCGGAGTACAAATCAGATAAGTTTTTAATGAAATTACTAGTGTATAGATGTGTGTGTAATCCATATGGTGCTTGATGTATGTATTGTATAATAATTTTTTGTCAAAGTGTAATATATGAATGTTGTAATGTTAATATACATAGATCATGTCTGATAATATTTCTTGGAGATTTAGTATCCGGTGATGCTAATAAAACATTCTGTGTTTGTTCATGAAAATTCCATTTGACTGGCATTTTATATTACTGTTCTGAAAATCATAAAAAATGGTAAAATTATTTTTGGCCAAGAATTATCAATCAGTAATTAAAATCTTTCATTTACTGTTTAATAATTTCACTGTTTCTGTTTTACATATCTTTTTCTGGCATAATGTTATCTGAAGTCAGTGCAAAAAGTCCCAAATGTCTGCAAATTTTTGCACCAGCATTTCTCACACTATTGTTGCTTCATGTGATGTTTCTAAGACTTCCAATATAATTGTGTTTAGATTTATTTAATTTTTTTCCTGAAATTGGAGTTAGTGATTTGTAAATTAAAATTTGTAAGCCTTAAAAATTATTTTAAATGTTTATTAGGTCAGCTGTAAAGTAACTAAAAGAAACAGAATGCTTTTATAATTTTATAAATTGAAACTTTTATGAATGAAGTAATGGATGACTTACTTTTTAATGAAACTTTTATAAATTCTTCCAATTAGCTATCCATTAATACACAAATGTTATTTATATATTCATTCATGTGCACATTCATGTATCTGAAAAAGGATTAAATTACAACTTAGAAATTTTTTGATTATAAATTATGTTCATGAAACACATTCACACTATGATTGAACGTAACTATATGAAGAAGGGATTGAACAAAATTATATAAATGTAAAAATACCACTATGGCTGTACTAAGTGAAATGTTATGATAATTTTAATTTATACTTGTTTTAGCACAGATTTAACTGAATATGGAAATACTAAATAATGGTAAATATTTACTCAACTAAACTCAGTCAACTCAATTACTCAGTCAACTGAAAAATGAGACTTTTTTCGAACCTTTTATTATATTTTAGTCACATGAAAAGCTATTCCAAAGTAATATGTTTCATTCAATAGCCCGAAAACATGCACCTGAGTTGGCATTATGAAAATAATTCAGTAATATAATCCCACATTTTGATAAAGGAGAAAAACATGTCATATAGGGGACAATTCCCTAACTATGAAACACTAACATTATATTTTTTTTCACATGAGACAAATGTGGTATTAATAAATGTGATTTGGTCTTCAGAGATAACTTAATTCATTAACAGCTACCAAATGAATTTTGTTGCTTTAATTTCAATAAGTGTTGGAAAAATATTCTTGATGAAAAATATTCAGAAAAATTAGCAGCATTCTAATGGTTTATATTGACATTTCTGGCTTGTGAGACCAGCAGTTTGGTTTGAACATTATATGCATATTTCCTAGTCACTTGTTTTTCTCAATCTTTTTCTAGTTGTCTTAATATTATTCCATCTTTTCCTCTAACTTTTCTGAGTTTTATTTTTTTTAATCAAATAATAGTCATTATAATAGTCAATTATAATGTCACCTTAATAGTTTTCCAGCATATTGTAATTCATGAAGGTTAATAAGCCAAAGTTTGAGTCATACTGTGGCTTTTCATCAAAGTATGGGGTGTGAAAACCATGAACTTGGAGACAAAAGAGAAAATTTGTAGAGAGATCTTTTAGAATTTTTAGAAGCCAGGAAACTGAAGAAATCCACATGCCCTCGCTGGTATTCGAACTGCAGACCTCCCGAATGTGCTTCCTGTTAAAGCATACAGCAAGGAGGAAGAAAATACTTTATATGGTCCCCTTTTTAAAGGGCTACTGGGGGTTAGTGGACAGGGTCGGCAAATCCTAATAGTAACTATTTACTGTCCACCGCCGTTTAGTTCGGGCGCCACTTGTAGAGTCATTCAGAATTTTTTTTAAAAGTCAGGAAACTGAAAAGTCTGCGAAGCTCTCACCGGGATTCGAATTATGGACCTCTCAAATACACGTCGAGTGTGCTTCTACTTCCACCATGAAGGCATGTGGAAAGGAGAGAGGAAATACCTTATAAACTTTGTGTATAGTACAGATAATCACTTTAGTATGACAACTATCCCCCTCTAATACTTTTAAAATGCTCAAAAAGTCTACCCATTTTCTATCTTTCTTTTTCTTTTTATTATTTATTTATTTATAAATATTTATGAATCAAGAATTACCTTTACTATTTTTCATTATTTGAAGTTTGATGCATAACATTCGTAAAGGCATCTATCTATCATTCTGATGTAATGGTGCAGTTCAGAAATTGTCAAAAATATTTAGTTTTCTAAAAAATACTTCCATTGAATGTGGTATAAATTTGTACACTGATTATAAAGAACAAAATTATCAAAACTATTCTGTATGAATCTTAGATGTTAAACATGAGGAAAACCACCTAGTATATTAAGTGAGTGAATACTAAATAATCAAAATTATTACTTTTCATTTATTTATTAAATAAAAATGGCATTTCTGTGGCTATTAAAAGTTTTTGCTAGTGCTAATATTCTTTATTAAATACTTCAAAGAGAGTACCTCTTTGAGGTATGCATTCTCCTTATTTCGCTTATTTCCTATTCTGGTAAGATGGAAAGTACGGCCAGTTGAAGGAAGTATTATTGCAAACCTTGTGTAGAAGCGATTTAATGAAATAAATGCACAGCTGTCTCTTAAATAATTAATAATTAATTATAATTTCCATATGGTATTAATTTGCTGTGAAGTAACATCATACCATTTTTTTCCCTTTATTTGAATTGGTTATTTTTAGCAGTATCTTTAATTTCTGGAGGAATAATTCTTAATATAGTAGGCCTGCCTTAATTGCTTGGCTTAAAATTGATGCAGTTATTAAACTGAAATCTGCATGTACTATCTTTTTAATTTCATAATTTTTATATTTTTTAATTAGTTTTTTAACTTTTAAAAATTTTAATGTTAAATTTCATTGAGATGTTATATTGTAAACATAAGTTTTTACACTGCAATTTTTCATGTATTTATTTTTATATTTTCTATTTTTAATCGTTAGTTATAACTTATGCCACTGTCTCTTATAAATGGCAAAATTTATGTTATGTTTAGACAGAATTTGAGATTGCACAAAAAATCAATTTAAGTTTCATGTTCTTTAATATAATGGTTAATGATGTTATAAATATTTAAGAGCAAGATGATTATCTTTTGTATACGTACATTCTGAAAATTGCATATATGTGTGAAAAAATTATGTTTTGTATTATTTAATATTTAATACCAAATATTGCTGCAAATTCTGATTTATTATGTTTGTTGTTACATTCCACTGATAGCATTTTAAATGCTGAAGGTTTCATCTTTTTGTGCCAAATGCCAAAGTTAACAAGTTTTTTTGTGAATATTGGAGCTTAACCCGTGCTTGTTTCCCTTTGTTATGGAGACATCCTAGTTGAAAAATATATCCCAACGTCTTCCCCTGGATGCTGATCTGTATATGCGTATATATCAGTCAGTACAAAAATAATGCACATAATAACGCTTCTAAGTACCATTTAGTCTTCCGTATATATGCTAAATTAAAAGATCTTCTATTTGGAAACAAGCTATATTATCCATTTTATCTATATTAAAAGCGTACATTTGTTATAAAATAAGAAATCATTAACACTCGACTTTTGTTAAGTTTATAAACTGTATTTTAAATGCTATTTTATAATGATGTTTATAAATAAATTAATTAAATTTGCAGTATGCCTTGATCTGTTTTTATAAACTATATTTCTGAAATTCATTGTGTTAATGAAAGAATTATGTAATTCTTAATGTAAGAAAATAATTTGTAATGGTTTTGTGTTATCTTAATGATCTTAATTTTATGAATTCATAATTTCAGATTATAATGCAGGGGGAAAGACATTGTATTTTATGAATATAAATATTCCATTCCCAAAATAGTTATTCTGTAGAAAATAACATAATTTATGCACTTCATATCTTCTATTCATAAGACATACTTAAAATTTGAATTTCTACCTTCGAACGTGGAATTTTTTTAACATAAAAAAGGTGTACTCATGTTTCATACATTTTTACATGCACTTATAAAAACTATGAAATTACAAATTTTATTTGTTTACATATGTATTTAAAATATATTTGATTTAAACTTTTATATTTCTATAAATGTTTCTTGTATGATCTTTGCAGATTTCTTACTGCGTGTTTAATGCATGTTTTTGCATGTGTGTAATATCACTCATTGCAGGTTTAAGTACCAGCAATATTTAGAGGATAAGTTTAGTTGATTTTCTGTATACTCTAAAAAGGGTACTTTTCTGTCATTCTGGCCAGATTCAGAAATGTATATATGTATGCATGGATGTAGGTATATATGTATCTGAATCTAGAAATGTATATATGTATGCATTAATGTAGGTATATATGTGTTCAGTACAGAAAAGTAATAAAAAAGAAAGAATTTATCTTAATTGCTTAAAAGTTATACAAAGCAGTTTTTAAATGCTTTGCTTTTATTAGTTATTGGTAATAAATGTTTACCTGCTTTAAATTAAGTAGATTTCGAATTTTTCTGCATTCAGACTTTTTATTTTTCATTATATAGAGATGAAATGCAATTATTTACTTAGTCTTACAAGAACCCTGGCTTTTGATAAAATATGTATTAAAATTTCAATCCCTCCCCAAGCTTGGCTGAAATATTCTATGAAATGTATAAAATGTGCTGAATGAAGTTTTTAGCTGACATTCTGGTGTATTTTATCAGTTGCATAGTAATTTTGTTTTCAGCTAGAGAGTTCCTTTTTATTATTTATTTATTTATTATTTTTTTAAAGAACTTATTGCATATCAGTTACATTCTCGGCATAATAGAGAGCCCAGTGAACTATTTCTGCAATGCAATCAATCCAAAAAGATTTTCTTTTTGAGCCTCTTTAATTTTATCAGTTTCTGGGTGTAATATCACAATTGAAGAAAAATATATCTTTGAAGATGCATTATCAATATCACAGTGGATTAAAATGTCGCCAAAAATATTTTCTTTTATAGCATTATATAACATTTTGTGGATATCACAATGTAACTTAGTTATTGTCATTGTTACGTATTTGCTTTGAAATTCGTATGAAAAGCTTTTATGTATATTTAAAATAATTTGATGAGAAAGTTGACATAAAGACTTACCAGAATGTCTTTTGTAAAATATTGTGCAGTTACTTCAGGATTAAGAAGTAATTCTATATTTTAAAATGCCCAGTTTTTTAAGGTATAAATGAGAGAATGTTTAATATACAGTCAAATCCCGCTATAGAGAATACGGCTTAGAACACACTCTCTGGTATAACGAACGAGCTGTCTGGTTCCATTAGCTTAGCGTTATTTTATATGGCTATAACAAACCTCCAAATGTATGAAAAATTTCCCAAATAAGGAATTTTGAACATACTTTAGCTGCAGTTTCTCCCCTACTTTTTTTTTTTTTTTTTTTTTTTTTTTTTTTTTTTTTTTTTTTTTTTTTTTTTTTTTTTTTTTTTTTATTTTTTTTTTTTTTTTTTTTTTTTTTTTTTTTTTTTTTTTTTGTTTTTTTTTTTTTTGCATTTTTTTTTTTTTTGTAAGTTTCTGCAAGTTGTAAAACCCTTAAATATTATCCATATTTAGGCTCTGTTGCTTTAGGCACTTCAAGGCCGTTGCCAGCCTGTCCCATTTGTGATATTATGGATGTCGTCATCACTACACAGCATTTAACTTCTCAACCACATTTGAGACCGAGTTCAAATCTGATTTCATTCGCAAACTTTTCATGAAGTGAAACACACTAAATGGCAATGAAGTGGAACAAAAAAAATTTGACTCAAATCATCTGTTGCAGCTGTCGTTCTCATGGTTACTAAGCAACTCGGATGGTGGAAAGAAACTTTTTAAAGTAATAGACTTTAACAAGATAGCTCAAAACTCCTTTACATTATACTTCTTTTATTCCCCCCCCCCCCCCACTCTCCAGTTTTCTTTGTATATCAGAGAAAGGCTTATTTGAGGCAGGTGTTTTTGAAAAACCAGACCTTAGTAGATCATATTATGTCACAAAAATGAAATGAATATTCATATAGTATATATATATTAATGGCTGGGCGTTTTATTTAAGAGCCTTGGCCACTACAAGGGACGGAAGTGATGGCCATTTCACTATGGAAGTGCTAAAATGCCACATTTGCCTCCTATGAAGGGATTGACGGTTACAACCATGCCTTCTCCGGGATTCGAACCGGGCTCATGGCTACAGCAGTCAGTGTCACTAAACACTGTACCGGCTGGGCAGCATTATTCATAATTATAAACGTATATTTTAGAGAAAGATATGCATTTCGATGAAAGAGATCTGAAACATGACTTTAACACTAGGTAATCAATCGTGCCAAATTATTATTGTATGATGAAACAGAAGTTGAAATTAAAATTTAATAATTGCTTGTAATAATAACTTGAATAAGTCTTATTATGATTTTTAAAAAATAGAGCTATTTTTCACTTCTTTTGGTAGATGATGTGACAATGCTAATCAATTCTTTTATGAGTCATCAGTCTATTTTTACAGTCTTTTGTTAGATAATTCGTTTTTCTTATAACGAACCAAATTTCTGGTACCTTGAAGTCCGTTATAGCGGGGTTTCATTGCAATACATATGCAGTGTTATTGTAATTAATAAAATATGTTTACAATGCCATTATTATGTACCTGGTTACAGAAACGTTTTGTGTTTCATCCGATTAATTCTATGAAGATTAAATTAAATGATTTACGTTAGTCAATCATTTAATTTTAACAATGCTAACTGAAATGTGATCTTCTTTAACATTTACTGAGCAACTTTAAATTTTATTAATTTCTTTTATTTTAATGCTATTTTATTTCTTCAATGGTGGATTAATCTAAAATTTTCTGTGAGCTGTTTTAATTGTATTTATTTTTTTTTCCTTTTAAGATAACATTAGAATATAACCATTATTGATTATTCACATGCAGGAGAGAATTAAGTTTTTGTTTTTATTTTAGTTGAAGAAGTAAAATTATCCAAAGTTTATAATATTGATTTGATAATAATTGATAATATTGAAATTTTTTGTGAAATAAAGAATTGAGTGTTTATATTACTTCACAATATTATTTAAGAAATTCAAATTTATTACTTGAATCATCAATACGTGAATGTGATTATTAAATATGCAGCTGTAAGATAGAGGTTTCTTAATTTATCATTTTTTTCTTTGGTATAAGAGTTTTCTAAGCCGCAATTTACCATTGCGATTTACCATTTTACCATTGTACATTTGCTAATTTTTATCGTTTCTCCTGCACCTATCCACCTTTTGTTAATATTTCTTAACTAGTATCATGGATTGTATTATTTATATAACTATGTATATAATTTGAATAATTTATGAAGCTGGTATTGTGTTTTTTAAATACAGCTTTTCATATAGAATGTGAAAATAAATGCTTTGATGTCATTCTTGTGTTTGTCTGTATGCTTTGGTTGTTCATTACCATTAAAATAATAATTTATTATTATTAAAGCTATGACTTGTTTACTAATTATTCTTAGTATTTAAAAATGAATACAGAGTACCAAAACTTAGATAAAGCTTTTGTGACGTATTTTTAACCAAGCAGATCAGATTTTATCAGAATGAGTTGGCTATTATTTATGTAAATAGGGTAAATTGTTTTAAAGAATAAAACCTTATAGGCATACAAAAAAAAAATTATGGGATATAGGACCAAAACTATTGAAATTGCCAGTTCTTTACAAGCAACTTGTGTGAAGTAAATGAAAATAAATAATCTTCACTACAGAGGGTGTTCGACTGTTACTCAGGCCAGCACGTTCTATAAATCACTTACCCACTGAGAACATCTGGTCATTAGTTGCAAAAAGACTGACACGCCAGCACTTGCAGAACATAGAAAAAAGGAAGACATACGTGTGTAGTAAAGTTGACGAATTTTTTTTTAAACTGAAGTTTTAGAATGAAAAAATTACTTTGCATTATGCACAGATGTTGCAAAAGCGATTACGGGCGGAAATATCGGTTTTGAATCATTTGTTAAACTGCTGGGAATAATCATGTAACTTGTATATACTGTTGCGTGTGTATCGGTTCATAATAGATTGATTGCTCTCAGAACCGATGATAACTTTATAAAATTAATTTTACCAAAGAAACAATTCTCGAACTTTCCATAATAAAATATGAAAAATAGTAGTACAGCTCTTCACACTGTCACAGAGTACAAATAGTAGTCACACGTCAAACTACTAAGAACATTAAACACAACGCAATGTAAAGCGCATCTAAATAGCGAGTTAACATGGAGACATCTCAATACTCCAAACTCAGGCTGAGCTACACAACTCCGAAACTGATGCTCTGTCCAGTTTTGTATAGTTTTCCCCCGGCCACCGAGAAATCTCAAAAATTTCTCCTTCTCGAAATTACTCGAAGGCATATGCATGTTGGATACAGTTACATTTATATGTAGAGATCATTTACATTTAACAACAACATACAGCACCAATTACAGTTATACATGAACCGGAGCAAAATGTCGCCAAGTTTGGCGATGGTGACAAAAATTAGTCGCCAAAACCATCGCCAGCTTGGCGATATCTGACCAGTTTAGCAAGATAGCCACCGCCATTTGCTCAATGTTAACTAGACTTACTCCAGTTTTCTTATTTTTCTGACAAAGCTTCGCCTCTCCAGATTTTCATATTACATTATACAAAAGACACTAAAATTATACATATAATTTTACTAAAACTATTTACATTTATAGAAAATCCATAACACTTCCCCCTTCCCAAGGACAGCACGTCCCGGGCATAATAATGCCTGGACAGGAAGCCATACTTACAACTAAGAAAAATCAAAGTAACAGTAAAGCAATAATTTCAATAAACGACATAAATCGAATGCTAAGCCAATAATAAATGCATAAATTTACAAATGTATGTACAAATAGGACTGTGATCTTAGTATACTATTTATGTTATATACACTATGGAGACTACGTACTATGGTTTTAGTAAAGGGCTAGCCTATCGTAATGAATGACTTAGAATTTGATGACTTACTGATCTGAACTACGACGTCGTTCAGCGTGTTTAGGAGTATGTAAGGACGTTCTCAGGGTCCTCTAGCTCTAAGACAGTCCTCTAGCTCCGTCGAATCCTGTAGCTTTCATGTCGTAGCGGGTTTTCATCTTCTGCGTCGCCAAGCTGACTCGCTCTCTTGCAGAATTGTGCATCACTTCAAACCGTGACGGGGGATCTTGAATGTACTCCTCAGGCGATGAACGCGCATCTAGAGGGCGACCAAGCAAGTAATGACAAGGCAGACGAAAGTTATGACCGAAGAGCATCTGGTATGGGGAATAGTCGGTTAGTCTCCTGCGATAGACCAGTATCGTGTCTGGGAACCATCAGCGAGAAATTGTAAAGGATGATTCGATTAAACCTCCTTACCATGCCGTCTAATTGCAGGTGTAAAGATTTCATTTGGGCTTTTTATCTAGCCTGAGTACTCTACAGAGTTCCGTAATTACAGCCGAGATAAATTTCCTTCCTTGATCGGAATGTAACTAAAAAGGCACTTTAAACCTGCAAATCCAATGCTGTTTCATTACCTCTGATACCGTGACAGCCTCGTGATCAGGAAAAGGATATATTCTTCAGACCACTTTTTGAAGTAATCGGAGACAACGGGTATGTATGTGCTGTCAATAGCAATTTATGGCAGAGGTCCCAGGATGTCAAATTCTATGCGTTCAAAAAGCGCTCCTACATTGTAACGTTGTAGCTTTCCTCTGCTCTGTTTCTTCGGTCCTGTCTGAAGTATCATATCTCACTTTTACATGACGGTTCTTGCGTTACTCCTACAGAAGCCCTCTCGAAATCTATGCAAAGTGTTCATTAATCCGAAGGGGGCCTCCTGTCGAGACGCTATAGAGTTCTTAAAGGACGTCCGAGATCTTCGAAGTATCAGCTGCCATCAGAATACCTTTCCTTCATTCGATTCGTACTTCTGGTATAAGATAGATGCCGTTTCGAATATGGAGTAAGTTCCAGAGAGCTCGATATTGTTTTATCCTATGAGAATAGATCGAAATATTTTGCCAGGTAGGTTTCCTCTTTAAAGATTCCATTAAGTCAATTATGGATTTAATGTCGCCGTCTTCCAATTGGTCTTTCTAGAATTCTTCATCTCTTCATGGGTCTGGATCAGCCGATGTTGAAGTTGTAATTTTACGTGCGACCAGATTAACTAACGTGCATTTCCCTTCGACCCTGGAACAATACCGGCAGCTTTCTGCACAGGGTCTTCTAGTCAGGACGTCGATGTTTCCGTATTATAATTCCTTACAATGACGGTGAAAGATATCATATTCCTGGTGTGTCTGTATCCCTTTGGCATTCGGGGGCTCTTGAAATTTAAATACCAGGTCCACGATCTGTGCGGAGCAGGAATTTCCTCCCTTAGAGATAATGATGAAAAATATTCTACGGCTTTAACATTGGCTAGCAACTCTTTTCTGATGAAACAGTTAATTCCTCTCTGATTTAGACACCCACTTGATGCAGTATGCTATGACACGTTCTTGACCGACCATTTATTTCTTGGAACAGAACAACACAAATACTCTCATTGCTCGCATTTGTGTCAAGAATAAATAGTTTGTCCAGCTGAGGATACGTCAGGATTATCACAGATGTTAAAGCTTCCTTCAGTTTGTTAAATGCATCCTCATATTCGTTTGTCAACAAGAACTTTTGCTTGCTGTCTGTCAACTTGTGAAGGAGTCCTGCGATGAAAGAAAATTTCTTCACGAATTCCCTATAGTAGGTATGAAACCCCAGGAAACTCTTCAGCTGATGGGCAGTTTCGGGGCATCTCGGATCATTAACTGGGAGCAATTTTCTGGATTCGTACACACATTTTTTGGCAGAAATAATATGTTCAAGATAAGTGACTTCTTGTCTGAACAATTTACTTTTGTTCAGACAATTACTGGACTTAACTTTAGACTGGCTTCCTTCAGTTTTTGAAGCATCATTCTAAAATTTTCTAAATGAAATCTAAAATTTTATTCAAAACTCTTGCCAACGATGATGATGTCATCCAGGTATATATATACAGGCTTTGTAGGAAAGATCTCTTAACACGGTCTCCTTAGGAGGCGTTCGAATGTTGCCGGCGCATTACATAACTCAAATGGCATCACCTTGAACTGCCAAATTTCACTGTGTGGTAGTAAATGCCGTCTTTTCTCGGTGATCAGAATCTATCTCTACCTGCCGTTATTCACTCTTTAACCCGCGAGTTTGCGCGCTGCGTCAAATGGAAACGCTCGATTAAAGAAACGTTTCTAGAAACGTCCCCATGCGGTTGTGGTTCAGTGTAGTTTCCTTCAAGGTCATCGTCTTAATGTTTCCGAAGTTTTTCGTCGGAAATTTGATTCGAAGTTTTGTTTTGACATGATCAGATCTTTCAGATCCAGCGCACATATTCACATTTTGTAACGTAGTTCATTTGTGGTAGCACAGAAAGCTGCAAATAATGTCACGTAATTTATCCTATAAGGAAGAAATGTTACGTTTGCAAAAATTATTAGATGTATGAACTGTTGAGAACTCCATTGAAAAAACTGATAATGAAAGTTGTAAGGATTTTTTTATTTCTCATGACACTGATTCAGAAATCGAGATGCATTCTGAAAACGAAAATGAGAATGACATTTATTGCTTTATAGAAAAAAAAAAAAAAAAAAAAAAACCCACAATATTCAAAAGAAGTATTAATTACCACAATATTCAAAGTCTAAAGCTGATGTTAAAACTCCTACTCATAATATTATTACTAAATTGCCTGGAAGCATAGGTAAGGCAAAATATGTACAGACTCCAAATGAATCGTAGGAACTTTTACTTAAGTGAACAAATGTTGCTGAAAGTCGTCAGGCATACAAATATTTATATTGCATCTATTTCTGACAGCTTTCAAAGAGAGAGAAAGAGATACTCGTCACGCAACTCTAATTGAAATTCGCGCTTTTATAGGTCTTTTATATTTTTGTGACATAAGTCATTGCGTGTAAATGTGCGGGACCTATGGGTAACAGATGGAACCGGCTTGGAAATTTTCTACAACACTGTGTCCTACAAACGTTTTCTTTTTTGATTAAGATGTTTGTGTTTTGATGACATAGGAACTCATGTCGTCAAGAAAGAATCAGATAAACTTGCACCTATAAGAGAGTTTTTTGAAGAATTTGTGAATAACAGCCAGAAATATTACACTGTTGGTGAGCTCAGAACAACTGATGAAAAACTTGAAGCTTTCCGAGGAAGATGTTCTTTCAGGCAGTGTATTCCTAATAAACCTGAATAATAATTTCTGAATAGGCTGAATAATAATATAATGAATTCCTAATAAATTCTTTATTAATA